TTTTTTTTTTTTTTTTTTTTTTCTCTCGATTAAATTTTTGTAATTTTATTTTCCCATTTGGAAATCAAATCCAAAAGAGAGAGAGAGAGAGAGAGAGAGAGAGAGAGATCTGACACGAGTGAAGAGTCAGCGTGGAGAAAAATTCACATCCGATCCGACTAGGAGAACTCTCCGCTTTTTCCCTTTTTCCAATTTTTATTTTTTATTTTTAAAATTATAAAACGGAAGAATTAAGATCAAAACGACGGTGTATTAGCGAATTAGGGTTCGTTATTTAAAAAAGAAAATGACACGTCAGTATTAGTGAATGATTCTCAGCCACAAGCTTGTTTGTGGCTTTGAAAAGATCTTTCTTTCATTCCTCTTTTTTTTTTTTTTTTTTTAATTTAATTTTATTCTTTTTCTTTTTGTTTTGTTTTTTTTATTTTTATTTTTGCAAAAAAATTAAAAAAAAACACAAATGGTGACGGAGACTTTAAATCCTAGTCAGCAGTTATTCACTTTCTACCTAACATCTACCTTCCTTGGGTACTAATCTTTATAAATAGTTTAAATAATTTATCAATTTTGAAAGATGAGGACTCCATGATTATTCGAAATTGAAAGTCAAAATTTTAGTAGATAAGGATCCCGTAAAAATTTCTTTCGAGGAATGGGTTAGATGAGTCATTTCTCGAGAACAATAGCTAAAGAAGTTGGTGACCTAATCATAGGGGAACCGGCGACCGAAGCCCGAGTGAATGGGGTCGTAACTATAACAGTCCTAAGGTAGCGAAATTCTTTGTTGGGTAAGTTCTGACCCACATGAAACGATCTGGACACTATATCAAAGAGAGGTTTGGTGAAATAGACATGTATGTGAAGATGCAGACTACTTGCACCTAGACAGAAAAACCCTATGAAGCTCCACTCTTACTTGGGATTGGTCTAAAAAAATCTAAAAAATATTCTTACTATTTATGAAAATAATTAGTATTTTATTTTAAAAATATCCTTAAAAAAAAAAATTAAAAAAAATCCATAAAGAGAGATTTAGACTTTCCAAATAAGTTTCTATCTCTTCTTTGCTTTGACGCTCTCACAAATCCTACATCCTCTCCCCGGGACATGATCATGTTATGGTCCCACTATTTACTTCTTGCTCTTCAGAGTGAAGATTATCCTCATAAATCAACACAAGTTCTTTCGGCATAATTTGTCTTCAATTAATTCTAGAAAAATTTCCAAGAAGTCATCCGACGTAAAATTGTTAAAAAATTAGAATTTCTATGATTTAGTTACCAGAAAGGAAGATACACCTATTTGGCATGAGGAGCATTTTCAGTTCTTTTAAGCCTTTCTTTGTTACTTTATCCTCAAGATCACTCTTATTCAAATGGGTCTCGATTCATTCATAAATTCTCTCCTAATTCATCCAAATACGATTAAAAATGAATTAAAAATATATATGCTAATATGAAACAACAGATTTTATTGGTTTATTTGTTTATTTATTTATTTGAAATTAGAGTAAAGTTTTTAAAAATCAATTTAAAACTAAAAAAATCCACCTAGAAATGAAACTTAAATTTTGAAAATAAAAAAATGGGTAGAAAATAAATATAAAATTTAGATAAATTTTGAAAGAACAAGAATTATTTACTCAAAATAATAAAATAAGCGAAGTTTTGAGTTTGCAAATTGAATAGGAAAAGCAGTGGGCCTGACGTGGAATGACGAAGAAGCCCACTGAATCCAAGTCATCTCGTTTTTCCAAAAAACGAGGCACGTGATGCGGGACCCACGGTTGCCACGCAAGCAGCCGGCATCACCACCCCGATGCCTATTTTTGTCTTTTTATTTGAGGACGTGTACACGCAGCGGGCCCCGCACCCAGTGAGGAATGGGTTAAGTTGAGATTATGGATGAATCAAATGTGGCACGTGGTATTTTGAAACTTGAAAGAGTGACACTTATGGGCCGTACACCCACTAAAATATAAATCTCAATTCTATTTCCAAAAAAAAAAAATTTAATTTTATCCATGATATAATTATTATAATTAAGATGATTTTGTCGTAATTACACGTGTTTGAAAAATTAACTATTTGGGAAATTATTTAGACCATTAGAGATGGTCCCTTTTTTATTTTATTTCATTTCATTCTATCATAAGTGAAATTAAATATTATCTTTCTTTTTTTTTTATCCAAAACTAACTATAACAATTTTTTTAAATTAATAGTAATTTTTTTTTAAAAATTCTTAGAGATTTTTTTATATATATTATTTATTTATTATATTATTATTCTGATTTATTTTGGGCGGCAGGAAAGACACTTTTTCTCTCGACTCCGTTGGTGTGTCAATTTCTTTAAAATTTCTTAGAAACTTTTCTTGTAATATTATAATATTATATATTTTTTTATTAAATTAAACCTCCACGTTAAAGTCTGATTTTTTTTTAAAAAAAAATGAAAATACTAATAAAATATTGACCTCAGTCAATATATTTTAAAAAATTAAAAATATAAAATTTATAAAACATATATTTAAAATAATTAATAAATATTTACCTTTTCCATTTTGTTTATTAATACGAAACATAGGAGGATAATATTTTATTGATATTTTAGTTATGCTTTGCTTACGTGAAAATGTCCACTAAAACCCAATCGAAAGGACACTAGCGGATTTTAAAATCATCACAAACTTCTCGAGCTCCACATAATTTATCATTAAAGATTAGAAATGTTTATTTTACTTGTGGAGTCTACGACCCGCCTCGAATAGGGAGGACATAATTTACGCTACACTGATTTAATCTATGGACCACAAACAATATGAATGTATCTATCCTAACTTTAGTTTTATAGCTGTTTCCGCGATGTCGTTATCCATGTATGTCTTACCTTTACCTAAAAAATAAGAGTAGCATGTGGGTCGAGAATTTTAAGAAATACTCATTAAGTTAACCCCACTATTAGGGTTACGAAATGCATTCACATGCAATCATGTTTGAGACCTATTCTTTCATAAAGTATCATGACATGATCTTGATCTCTACTTAAAGTCTGGGTAAAATTAGATGTGTAGTACTTCTTTACACACGACCCATGTACACGCACATGTACCCTAGGTGGGCTCGTATACGTATCTCTGGACCTAACCTTCAATTAGTGTGCACTCATGTTGCTGGAATGCCATGGAAGGAAGAGAGCTCACATAGTATTTTGGTGTACACAATACAATATCGTAATATCATAGTGTACGCGTTCATACTAATCATAATGAGAAAGTATCTCAATACATACGAATATACAAGATGCATGAGGTCTCCATAACTTGCATTATACATATATGACATGATTTTAAGTTATAATTTCGCTCATTTCATGTTACCTCATCTATGTAGTCTATGATATAAATTCTCCATTAGAGAATCCACAAATATAAATAAGAAATTTTGCAATGATAAGTAATATAATAGGAGATAGGAATAAGAATGACCACCCCGTCTCTGCCCCTCGGTAAACATCTCTACCTACAACCCACCAGAATCTTCATAGAAACGATCGAATTGACTCAGAGATTAAATCTAGCGAACAGAAAGAAAAACGTGTAGGGCAAAAGACTTTAAATTAAAGTAACGTAGTTCCCATTGAAAAAGAAAACTCATTTCCAAGAAACTTCAATCTAAGTGGGTTGCAAAAGTGACAGATTCCCACCTAAACTCTATTAATAATCCAAGTGATATTATCATTCTCTTAATGTAAACGTTACTACACACTTCCATTTGTTGCATTATAGAGTTCAATTATTGATGTAAATTCCATTTAATTAAACTATTCATACTGTGTTGATTAATTAAATATGACCGTTTCATGTCATATTTTATCAAATTTCATGATTGTGTCTTCGAATCAAATCAAAATTTGTGTTTTATAACATTATCTTGAAGCGGTCTCAAAGTCTCACGACAAATAGTTAAAAAATATGAAATTTTCTTGGAAACTCTAAGGTGTGTTTTGTCTCCCAATTGGGAGTTGAAGTGGAGTGTGCTAAAATACATTGGTTTCATTTGATATATATATTTTACAACCTAGTGGATATATAATATCAATTTATCAACTTTAGCGGTGCTCAATACTTTACTCCTCCGACTTTAACTTTAGTCATCGTTAAAATTTACATATTTATCGATAAATTCTATTGTAACAATCTGAGTTTTAGATAAGGTTACTGTATATTTTTTTTTCCTCATTTGCTGGACTATTTTTTTCATTTAAATTTCGGGCTTAACTTTCTTTTCGGAGATGTTTTTGGTTTGATTGAAGTCGTTGGACATTGTTAGATGTGAGGTTTGAAGTGCAATTTGGGCATAAAATGGTCGATTTTAATGGTTTGAACAAGCGTTGTAGATTATGGTAAGGTTACAAAATTGTACATCCCACCTCCTTCTACACCTTCGACCATCTCTCTTGTACGTTTGTTCATGACCTCCACGTCTATTCATTCTTTGCTCATTTGCCACCAAGTTGCTCTGCAGCTCATCAATAATTAAAGTGTCTAAAGTATTAGACTCTTCAATTGAACATACAATGTAGTCAAATCTTGAGATTATTGATCTCGAAGTTTTCCTGCTTGCTGTATGTTTTCCCATGAATAATAGTGAGTTTT